CTTGACGACAGACGTTCCTGGAGCACTATGGGTACTGAGACTGACCGTGTACAGGACTGGATAGAAGATGGGCCGGTTATCATTGATGTCCACCACCGTGACCCTCACACGGGCTACTGAACTTAGACCACCCTGTAAAGGAAATGCTTGATCTAGTTTATTTGAATACAGAAAACCCTAAAGTATCAGCAAGCTAAGCCACCTTACATGAAGAGGCACAAAGAAGAAAAGGACAGTGCTAGACTGGATCAGCAGGAAGAATACTGTATTGTGCTGTGTAATCTGCTTTTTTAACCTGCTTTGCTGCTATCAACAGCCCGACAGCTCTAAAAGTTTCTGAAAGTTATTTACTGTAGGTTATCAGGATTATCCACACATCAGTTGGTGACATCACAGAAGCTACATCCATGTTTTATGTGCTGTCTTTAGCAGAAACCACAACTCAAATGATATATCAGAGCTCTGCTGACTTGACTATTGACCCATAACTGGATGCTAAACCATAAGAAGAGCTAGTTAAGTTAAACCAACGTCTCCCTGCCTTCTAGCACAGTGTAACAAGGAAAACAGCATTGACTCTGTGTATTACCCCCCAGTGAAAAGTAACAATGCAGAGCTTTTAAAGGTATTAAACTATTAGAACAGTTTTATCTCCATGCCGTTGAATGCATTAGTCAATGAATAGAGTTTGCACTCATTACACTATCTCTCTTTATGAGACCATTAAAAACAGAAACAGCTGAGACAAGGGGCAGACGCGAGCTGAGTATTTGGAAATGAGCAGGTAACACTACAGGACCACGATGACTAACAATAACAAATTTACAACAATTCTCGCGTTTCTATTACCTTATGTAAGCCAACAATGATCAAGAGATTCAATGGTATATTACATGTACTATTGAAATAGGAGTTTCAATTCCTATTTAACTCAATCCTTTGGGAATAACTGATAGTTTAACCTTATCCCTCTTGGAGTTCCCTCTGATTGTTTTGCCCAGCTGCCGAGGAACTGGATAGTGTCCTCATTAAACACGTCCTGTCACTTTGATCAGATTTACTCGAGTGCAGCTTTAGACTTCTTTAATTTGCTTTAACCCTGTCACTTTGATCAGGAGAAATATTACATATGCAACAGGCAACGTGTTTTGTCATGAAGCAACTTCAATCAGCTGAAATATCCCTCATCTAGCTACAGAACTAATGCCGTGACTTTCGTTGAAGTTCGAGCCTTTGACTTTTTCCATCTCCATCAGAAGTCTATTTCAGTTACAAATAATTAGGCTTTGATTGCAAAAACATGCAAAGCATGAGGGATTACTTCAGCATTTAATGTGCATTTGCTTTGATTCAAAGAGGTAGCTGAAATGCTCCATATGTAACTGTGGCTGGTTAGCTTAGCTTAGCACGAGGAACACATAAAAGCACATTTTATTTTCTCTGAAAACAGGAATTTCCAACGGAATCTCTAAGGATCACTAATTAACACATATGTCGTTACACTTTTTCTCACATTTAACATGCAGTTCTCACATCAGGAATGTAATTCTCACCAGTCTTAATGCAGTTCTTAAAACACCTACTGCTTCTTCTTCTTCCATCTGCTCCCTTTAAAGGATTATCTACCTTTGTTTTAACCTATCCCTAAGTCTCACTGCCATCCTATAAACTGATGTGAACATTGCATCAAAGCAATCGAGAAAAACTGGGATCTATCCAAATATAAGAAATACATATTGCAGTTTTGCAGGATGGTGCTACTAGTTTTCCCACATTAAAATTTATCATCCTGTCTCCTGTCTCTTTGCAAGAAAGTAATGAAGCATATTCCTCAAATGTCACTTGATGTTTCAAGGAGTATTCTGGTAAGATCTCAACCCTGCAG